GTTTTTAGCTTAGTTGCTCAGATGCTTCCTTACAAATCCCCACGTTCTTGCTTCAATTCCCGTCAGTGTTGCAGAAGTTTCTTATCTCACGACCAATGTACTCCTCCACCCTCCCTAAATTTCATATTGACATTTAGTTTGTGTAAACCATCGTGTGTGTATGCAACTTTACAAATAACTGATGATAATAATAGTTTTGAATTCATTTTTGCTTTTACATTTATCTTTTACTTCTATTTTTTTACTTTATATTTGTTTTAATTGTATTTTTGGCACTTCATATTTTGCAAAATCAGGTTTTGGTATGAAAATAAATGTAGTTGGCTATTACCGCATTGCAATTTACTCGTGCTGTTTCGTTATACATTTTCACTGGAAATTCAACATCATGTTTTTATTTTGGAAAGCTTACTTAAATTATTACAATATTAAAATTATATTATGTTTTATCGTTATTATAACACTTACAAATACAATACTAAAATACATATATATATATATATATATATATTTTGCCTTTTTTAAAGAAAGGTTCTTTATGTTTTTTGTTTTTTTTTACATAGCTGATTGTAATCGACGTTGTTTTAATCGTGGAACTTGCATTGCTGTAGGGGGTTTGGCTACGTGCGATTGTAGAGGAACTGGCTATAAAGGCAGGTTTTGTAAGACTGTAGACCCAATCAATAAAAGAGGTAAATAACTTCAAATATTTAGGAGTCTATATTTCATCAAATTCAAGCGAAAATTATAACTATATCACTGAAAAGGGAAACCAACTTATCGCTTATATTATCTATAACCGTGTGTACTATGATGAAATAATACTGTTGGTAGTCCGTATGCTATTGTCTTTGATCTGGCTTTCGTTCGCCCACAATTTCACACCATTCAATTATCGTTATTCGTTGTATCTGAACATAAATAAATCATGGCGAATATTCTTATTAATTAAGAAAATAATTATAATTTGGATTACGATTCAATTATTTCCATAGAACCATGTACATCTTCGTGGAAAATTATGTGTTGATGTCAGGTCTGAAAATACCGGTATTTTGTCGTCGAGAAAAATTGCCAACTGATACATAGGGCTGCTAAAGCTCGTAGCAGAGTCACATTGTATTTGGATCTTTTCATCTTGTGCCATTAACATAAGAACCAATTATTGTTATCATATTATATTTTGTGAAAAGTTCTTATTCTCAATAGATTGATATTTTTGTTTAGGTTATATTTATAAACAGATGCCCACGCCATATCCTCGGTGAAAAGTTCTTATTCTCAATAGATTGATATTTTTGTTTAGGTTATATTTATAAACAGATGCCCACGCCATATCCTCGGTGTTATAACCTTTCAATGAAAACCCAGTAGGCCATTTGGTAGATGAGTTAGTGTTGCTAAAATACTTTTATTTTAAGTTATATTCTTACGACAACATTTTAGATCACATGTTTTATTTCAATGTTTTATGTTTTATTGCTGATGGAGTAGGCCTATATACTGTCGTGTTAAAATATCTTTACTGTAAGTTACAGAACGTACACAAAATGTGTGAATAAAGTTTTATTGGTGAAAAATGTTACTATTATGATTGCTATTATTATATAATTATGTGAACGTTAATTATTTCTTTAGTAGCGTAATGTCCGAAATGCAGTGGTAAAATTATGCTTTTATGTTTTACAAAGCATGCTTCATTGTGTTAATTGTTATAAGGAAATATTTTGTACCTCTCCCAATTATGTTCCTTGTGCAACATTTTTCTTTGCATTAAAATTAGCACAATATTATTATTATTAACAGTAGTACTGTACTAGTTTAACAATTTTACAATTTAGGTTATAATGGTCATTCATATTTTACGACGCACTTTTCCTAGCCAGCCTGAATCCGGCTATCCCAGACCTGATCGATAATGGTACGTTCCTGCTTCTTACCAGCTGGCAGAGAAACCTACAACCGTATGTTTTAGATCCTTGTGTGCCTTAAAATTTTTTCATCCAATGGGAATATATTTTATATGAGAAGAGTCTATGAATATTCAGCTCTAATTTTACCAGGGGTGGGGGGAACAACAAGATATTTGATTGGTAAACAGCCGAAATAAAAAAAAAAAAAAAACAGTACAACGCAGATTCATTAACAATGGCGGAAGGCTATACCAAAGCTTCGAATTTTCGGCGGGCATAATGCCTAGACATAATTGTTCATTCATATTGAAATTAGTGTTTTGACGATGAATTTTTTCATCCAATGGGAACATATTTTATATGAGAAGAATTTATGAATATTCAGGTCTCATTTTACCGTGGAACAACAAGATGGTTGATTGTTAAACAGCCGAAATGGCAACGAAGTCGCTAAAAAGAGGTAAAAATGCAGCCTCTACGCGGTGTGCGGTCAGCATAGCACCAATCGAAAAGTGAAAAATGACGGTGACTCTTTTAAGCAACACAATTAATACAATTGAAACAAATACTAAAGCAATCAGAAAAGAATTACTTTTTAAATACCAAAGGGAACACAAAAATCCGAATCTGAGATACGACTGTAGAAATCGAATAATGACCCAAAAACAGCTTATGTCGGTGCGAAATACAGCGTAAAACACTACTTTGCTAGGCTATTCTCGCTCTTAAACGAAAATGTTGCAAGAAGAATCCCTATTTCGACTTTAGATTGACAAAAGATTGAAATATATTAAATATAGACACAACGCATACACAGGCCTAGTTCTAGAGTTCAGTTAAAATATGTAATTATGTATCGAAATAATATATTAATATATATTGTAACGACATTACCTCCTCTGTTGTACCAGCTCTTTTTGGGCAAAAGGTTTAATTAATGGGACAGCCCTGAATTACTTGGTGATTGGTCCATTAGTCTGATATTCACATGCAGTTGAAACAAACATATATTGTATGTATGTGTATATATATATATA